TGACCAAAGTATGTGGCTGCCCTGGATGCTCTTTTTCCAGGCCTCCAGGTTCTGCCTGGGCAGATCCAGAGCTTTGCCTAGCACCTGCCATGTGCCTACTGACAGAGCAGCTCCACTGGGCATGGAAGAGCCAGGGCTGTCCTTGCTCCCAGGAAGTTGCTGGTGTAGTGAGGAGGTTATAACTGAAAGCCCATGCAGGGCACCCATACAGCACCAAGAGGGTGACACAAGGACTTGTCCTTAAGTAGAGCTTCCTGAACAAGGGGGACTTCTGTGACTTTGTTGAGTGTTGGGAGGGAGCAGGCTTATTCTCCCAGGAATAGACTTTCCATAGAAAGTGGGAGGGGACCTGGAGGAGGAGAAGTTAAGACCGGTAGGGAATAGGCAAAAGGCAAGGCAGTGAGGCGATCAGAGGCAGCCCAGTGGCCTGGAACCTGCAGGTCTCCATCGATGTTTGCTGGGAGAGTGGGCCAGGAGGGGTGAAGCCAAGGAAGAGGCAGGATGTCGATGGGAAGCTACTCTTCAGCATCAGTGCAGCCTGTCAAATGCCTGGGGTTCTCACTGGGGCCTAGTCTAGACTCCAGATGTGCACTCGAGGCGAGTGGAACTGCAGGATGCAGGGCCTGATTTAGTGAATAATTGCTACAGTCCCATGGGTTAAGGTTTTCTATTAAGCCATCTATGCCGCTAATAATTTAGCTGAAAGATGTGTTAGATTCAGCGTTTGGGGAAAATGGAGAATCCATCTCAGGGGGTAATGACACCATGAAAGCTGTATTATTTCTACTGTGGAGAATGATTTTAAGCTTGTGCTAATAGATTATTCTCTGTGGAGAATAATTTTAAGCTTGTACTAAAATGATCAGTTGGAACAAAGAGAATGATGGAGAGTAATACAGACACTCTTAGTACATTTAGGATGCAGAAGGAGCAATAATTTAATCCTGTCAGCCTGTGACATGTGATACCTTTAGTCACTGTCACACTGTAGCAGCTGAGGAATATCCCTGAACTCAGGTCACCCAGACCAAGGACCAGCTTTTGCTGCTTGGCAACTGCTTGACCTCAGGTGAGCCACTAGACTCCTAATGCCTTCAGTGACCCCTTCGGCAAAAATGGAATGGAAATGCCCGGGCCACAAGATGTTGTGTGTAAATTCTTGGAATGAGGCATTGGGGTGGGATGAGGGGTGTTCAGTGAACTGCCTTGGCTTCCCTGGGTCCAGGGAGGAGTGGGTGGTTTGCAGAACGTGCACAGAAGCAGACATTATGGTATGACACATGCATTGCACAAGGGACACACTGCAGGAAGTGCCCTCTGAAGCAGCCTGCTGCCACTGGCTATCCTTTCTATGCAGCTCATGTCCTAGCTTTACATGATGTGATTAAAAAAAAAAAACTGCGAATACTTAAGTAAAACTTACATCAATTACAGTAAAGGCACGTTGCCATTAATCCCCCTCAAAATACTCCCCTTCCTTTGAACACATGTTCCATCATTCTTGCCACTTTCTGAAGTGCGCTTCTGAAGTTGGGGAAATGAAGAAAACAGGTAGAGAAAGGGTTCTTAAGAAGACTTCATGCTTAGAAAAGGCAGTATGGGCAAGCAGATGTACGTGCGGGGGTGGCAGTGAGAACCTCAGCCTCTGTAAGTCTCCTGGGGGACAGCTTGTGTTCATCAGTGTGGGTGAAGTAGGGCCCTTCTACAAAAGCATTTGCATCTCCCTTTGTGAAATGCTGGCCTGGTCTCCCAGCGATGCCATCCCCTGCTTGCCGCCTGACCGTGCATAGCCAGCTGCTGTGTCCTGTGGCGGCTGCTCCAGGCAGCTGTGCACGCGCAGATATGTGGCCTGGAGCCAAGGTGGGGCTGGCATCTCTGGCTCAGTCGGGAGCAGAGTGTCTGCAGAGAAGAGGGCCCAGAGATGTGGAAGCCATAGACCCGGGGCTCCTCCAGGTTCTGCTGGAGCTAAAGGAGAACAGTGCGGAATCCTGGAAGCTGGGAAAGGAGTGGAAACAGCCCAGTGGTGAAGCGGTGGAGAGTCTGGGGTGAAGCTACGGTAGACCAGGCTGTCATACGGCTTGGCGTGTTCCGCAAGGGCAAGGCAGAACTGTGCCTGGGACTCTGCGGACTGGGAGGTGGCTGGCAGCGGTGGTGGGACGTTGGGCCCACAGCTGCCCTTCTTTGCGCCCCACATTCTTTCTGCCTGCAACGCCTTTCTCCCCATCGTCCATGGGGCTCATGCTGCCTCTGCAAAGGGGCCCCCAGAGTCTGATGTGACAAAGTTAACGACAGACACACTGTCGGGCAGTTCAGGCATGCTGGCCTCTTCCTGCTTTTTACCTTGCCTGTGCAGCCGCTAGGTCTTAGTCCCCTCGAGACCTCCTGCTGCCTCCTGCGGCCAGGCCTGAGGACTGGGCGCCACCATGGGCGCAGGGGCTGAGCCTCTGTCCCTGCAAGGGAGGCTTCTCCTCAGCCTGGCAGGATTTCTGCCCCCACCAATACTGTGCTGTTAGAGTTGTTGAGGGTGGTGGTTTTAAGCCAATGGAATGTTTCTTTCAATGAATATTCGATTTTAGGCTTCAGATTTGGGACCTTCGCCGTACGCATATAACGGTGTCCTGTCCCAGAGGCTGTCATTGCATCTCACTGGAGCGTGGTGGGCTGACCTTGGCGTGAGTCACCTGTCCCTCACCCTCCTCTGTATAGAATTACTGATGTTAAAAAGAGAAGAGGTGCACTGCATATTCCCTCCCCTTCCCAATCTTTTGCCAGACTCTCTTTTAAAGTCAAATAATCAATATTTACTTCTAAAGTCCTGGCTCATGTTTCATTTTCCCAGTTAAACGAAATTGAAACAAATAGTAAAAGAAGGGGAGAAAATGTGTTGGTTTACTAAAAAAAAAAAAAAAAAGAAGAAAAAAGAAAATCAGACTAAATATATTAATAGCATCCGCTTGGAGTAGCTCTCTAGTTTCTGGTGAATTTTGTCAGTCCCCATTTCCTTCCAGTCCCTAACACTGGAACCTCTAGGGCCCACTGAAAGGTGCCTTTTCCTTTTTGCTCCCTGGATTAGACATGACCCACCTGTCGACACAGCCCTTACCTCTCACAGCAGGTTGGAATGAGACCCACCAAGCCAGATGGGCCCTTTCCAAAGGATGTGTGGTTCTGGCCTGTCGCACATGGGTGGGGCAAGGAGTAGGAAACCGCCTGTATCAGTCATGAGCCAGGAGAGCCATCAAAAGCAGTGTGAGTGGGAGCCCGTGGTGGATGCCTGCGCAAACCCCTCATCTTCGGGAAGCCCTGGTTTCCTGCCTCCACCTACCTGGCACCCAGCCCACAGCTCCTCGGAGCCCTCTGCCATACCCTGCGGTGTTGCTATGCCCCTGCTGTGTGCTTGCCCTGCAGACTCTGAGCTCCTTGAGGGACCGTGATTTTCTACTGTGGTGCTATCTTAGTGCCCTTCTCAGCACCTGGCACCTAGAAGATCATCATTCAGCTAATATTGAGAGCTTACCATGTGCCAGGTACTAATCCTGGCTCTGAGGAAATGATAGGAAAGACACAGTTCCTGCCCTTGTGTATATCACAGTCTAGTGGTAGCTGAAAAAGGGGTAAAAGTTTCATTGACTGGAAGAAGTAATTGGTGTGCCACAATGTTCCAGGAAGAAAAGGTTTAGGAAAGTGTGAATAGGTAGTGAGTGAGTGAATGAATGAATGAATGAATGAATGGGTTAAAAGGGCAGTGATGTTATTCAACCCACTTTGCATACAGAATCTCCTTTAATTCATTGAACTTTTCCTTAGGTACTTTCTATAGATAAGAAACCTGAGGGTTATGGGCAGAGCACTGCTCATACCTCACAGCTAAGAAAAGGTGGGGCTGACCGTTACCCCAGGGTAGTGCAGAACAGAGCAAATGCTTCCTCCCCCTTGCCTCTCTTTGACATTTCCGCAAGTCTGAGGAACCCTCCAGCTGAGCAAGCCCACACCGTTTTGCCTCCCTCCTGGGCTTGCTTTCTAATCCTTCACTCATTCTTGCAGCTCTGGGTTCTCAGCTTTTTCTAAGTTGTTCCCATGTTTTTTTTCTTCCTTCTCTCAAAATCAGAAAGAGTTGCTGTTCAAAGCAACCCCAACCTGACAGAGTCAGGAATGTGTGGGGCCTTAGCACCGGTAGGAATGTGTCTGCCAGCTTGGAGCTACCAAGAAAGGCCTGGCCATGGAATTCAGTAGTCTCCTCTCATGCTCCCTGGAGCCCTCTTGCTCAGACCAGCAGCCAGTGTCGCTTGGCAGGCTCTTCTTGAATGTCTAGGGTGACCCTGAGGAAAGGGAATCTTGAGAGGGTGCCTCATCATTCCTAGGATGAGGTTGATCTTCACACAGAGTTGAGCTCCCAGAGTGTGTGGAAAGGCAGAAGACCCAAGAGAAGCCTAGTTCCTTTGTCACCACCAAACAGCTAGGTGTACTTTCCAGGAGCCTCTTGACCTATACCTGTCTCTGTTGCAGTGGGTAACCTGCACAATGCTTAGTTTTTGTTTTTTTTTTTTAAATAGTCCTGGACATCAAACCCAGGGATGCTCTACAACTGAGTCATCTCTAGCCCTTTCTTTTTAAATTTTGAGACCAAGGCTCATAGAATTGCGAGGCTATCTTGGAACTTCCATTGCTCCTGCTTCAGCCTCCAGCCAACCCTGATCCTTTAGTGACTCCTACACTTCCTAGAAACCATAGGAGGAAGCTTACCATCAGGAAAAGAACTTGGAGTTTGAGTTTGGACCTCGGTTTCATTTGCCACAGTGAATGGCCCCTGGTTACCTTTCTTGTATCATGGAGGCTTGCTGTCTTCATCCATGAAGTAGGCTTGAGAGCAGTCAAAGAGCATGGGTTAGAGGATTTTATGAAGCACAGACAAGCTCCAGACATGCACTAGTTGCTCCCTCACCTGTGTTATGATTTTCTTACTATGAGACCCATGTGACGTTTCCCCTCCTCTTCCCCAGGTCACTGAAGAGGAGCCCAGCTCCAACCACACAGTCATGATCCAGGAGACCCTCCAGCAAGCCTCCGTGGAGCTGGCCGAGCAGCACCACCTGGTGGTGTCCTCTGATGACGTAGAGGGCATTGAGACGGTGACTGTGTACACACAGGGTGGGGAGGCCTCGGAGTTCATCGTTTATGTGCAGGAGGCCATGCAGCCCGTGGAGGAGCAGGCGGAGGAGCAGCCAGCACAGGAGCTCTAGAGGACCACAGCCTTGCCAATGCACAGGACAGGCTGCTGGGCACCCAGGGCAGGAGACCGCCTGGCCATCTGGCCTGGAGAGTAGCACCGTCCTCTGCACTTCCAGCCCAGTGGCCCAGGTGGGGCTCTCCGCTATTGTTTGAGTGGTCAAGACGACTGCATCACCAGCAATACAGGACCCTGGACCCAGCACAGACTCACAGACTCATGCCCCTTACCCTGTATCATCTGCTTCGGAAGGATCTTCGCATCAGCCCTTCTGCCTCATGTCACCCCTTGCTTCCAGATGCAGTCTGAGACTGTCCCATCAGCCTCTTCCCTGAATCGTACCCCCAGCCCCTGGCCCCACCTGCTGCCCATCCCTGTCTGGGCCCACTCTGCAGTCTGGTGAAAGGGAGACAGCCATTACACAGCAAGTGACCTTATGGCTTATGAGTGGCACTGGGTGGAGGGGTGGGAACATCCTAGCTCTCTCCCCAGGGTCCCACCCTCCTCAAGTGTGGGGCGGCTTGGGATCAAGTGCGGTAACCACCATTCCCCCGTCACAAGGTCCCAGCTTGCCATTTTAGAGTTCTTTGGCTTTTTAATGCACTTTTACCTATGCCTCCCGTTCTGAGAGGTGAGGTGGGAGGAATAAAGGTGTTTCTTGCCTGTGTGCTTTGTTCTTGTTATGGGGAAGATGTGATTCCCCTTCCTGCATGAGACCCAGGTCCCTGCATTATAGCCAGCCATGTCTGTTCCCCACCAAAGCACTTGAGTTGGCTTCCATTTCTGGGTGCCAACTATGTCATTCAGTGCCAGCCAAGAAGTGGCAGTGTCCCCATTTGTACTCTGCTTAGGAAGAGTGGAAAACAAGGCTTTGGGACATAGTACTGTACGATTTTTGTCCCCATATAGGTGCTCCTGCATTGGAGGTGGAGCATCCAGGGAAGTCCTGCCTGCCCTGGGTCTGTTATGTCTCCGCTCTCAGATGGCTGAGGTCAAGGTTGTATCTGCTGAAGACCCATTTCCCAGTGGGATTGTGGGAAGATGCCAGGCACAGGGATGCAGATACAGATGAGCCACCCTGATAGCGAGGGCAGGATTGGACCTGCAGGGCCCAGAGGATGAGGGTGGGAGGGCTGCAGCGCAGGAGGAAGTGGTGCCTGAATCAAGGAAGCACCTCTGGCCTTCCAAGGGAGGCAGGCTGAGATAGAGAAGAGTCCTATAGCCTGGGGCCACATGACTGTGCACTTACAGTTTGAGGTGGAAAGGAGCATGAAGGGAATTCCAAAGAGCAGCAGTGGCGCACTCCCTGCAGTGGGCAGCAGCCAAGTGGAAGGTGCGTGAAGAGCATTTCTGATTGGCTTGGGGTAGCAGCAAAAGGAAGGGTGGTAGGGGCAGCCAGAAGCCAGATTCTATGAGAGCTTGGGTGTGAGGTGACAGGTGTTGGTTTTATGGCTAGTGTCAAGAGCTTCAGAAATGAGTACCTTTTAAAGATAACATCTAGGTGTAACTGGCTTTTGGCTTTTGAGTCTATTGCAAGCTCTTCTTCAATTTATTGGGGATGAGAAGTTGCTGCCTAGTTGGCCTAGCCCCTGGTTCTTTGGCACTAGCCTATGGGTTTATTTATAACCCTCAGGCAATCTTGGTCTTGGCATACAAGGGAGAACAACTGATTAGAACAACTATGTCACCTTCACTAAAGGAATACAATCAGTCATAACATTAGCATCAAACACTCTCTAGAAAATGACAAACTGGGTTAACTATTGATGTCCCACCTTTAACTGTATGAACAAGATTTGTAGTTTTATAACAAAATCTAAATCAGACCAGAAGTTATATACAGTAAATATCCTGTCAACAGAATGATTTTACCATCAGGAGGAAAAATTTAAAAGGGATAAGAGGGAAAAACAGAAACAGAAGAAGAGAAGATTAGAAGCAAAGCTGAAGGACAAAGGAAATTACACAAACTTTGGGAAACTGGTATAAAAACAGGAGAGAAAGGAAGGAAGAAATAGAAACAAGAACAGAACAAGACACCAACACCAAAAGAAAGCTAGAATCAATGTGTACAGTCATATAAAAACAAGAACAAACAAGAAAAAAATCAAAAAAAGGAGAAAAAGTCTTCAGATTGTGTCTCTGCTGTCACTGGTAGATAAAGGGGAGTGACAGAGCCCAGATTCATGTGGGTTGATCCCAGCAAGCCTACAGCAGAATTACAGCAGAGTGATGGATAATCCCAGAAAGCCTGTGCTTTCAACTCCACCAAAGTTTAGGTTGATCCTGGTTTCTGGCTGTGAGAGTAGGACCTGAGTTGTTCAGCCTGCTGCACTATGACTGCTCTGACCAGCTTGAACTTGACACCCTGACCTTGGATGTCTCCCACAGCTTTCCCTCACCCTGACACTGGGAGCCACTTGATGGAGCAAACCTATGGCTGTTCTGAGTCTCAGGGTCAGCTGGCTCCTTTCCAAAGTTAATAACCCTCACCTGGGTATGTCTGAACTGGAATCACTCACCATCAACTGCAGCCTGTGGTGTCCACTGTTCTGCTCCACTGGCACATTTCTCTGTGGAGGTCTCTGGAGTCACCCGTAGTCACTGTACCTCTGTAGATTCGAGCTATCTTTCTAATACCACTAGCTGGGATTCAGGGACAAAGTACCATTTGTCAGCTCTTTCTTCTGTGTTAAGGTCCCTCTCCTCACTTTCCCATGGGCTCCAATTCTAACTTCAGATCTTTACTGGATCCCCGGGGCCCACTTCCTTCCTTTGTCTCTTCCTTGCTATATTCCAGCGTCTGGTCTCCAAAGCTTGGAGAGGTTGATTGCTACTGCTCACCACTCCACGATCTTCCTGGAGGTCTTTTTTTTCCTCCTCCTCTGCAGATGAGATCTCCTTCATAAGCTCCAAGCTCAGGAACCATGTTGCTAGGTGTAAGGAGCAAGTATGAGCAGAACAGACCAGGGCCAGCTAGGGGCCACACACGCCCTGGGACACTTGTGGGTAGAGGAAGGAGGGGAGAGGAAGCCAAACATAGCAATCATCTTGTCTGACTCCTGGTGACTGCTGGCTGTTTACACAGGCACCCTCTTCAACTATCATCAGTAGAGCCCTCCTATGGACCCCATCTGTAAAGACTGTTGCTCTGCACCGGGATCCTGTCCAGGACTTCTCACACAGTGTGCAGACAAGGCATTTATAGAGTAACCCTTGAGTACAGGAGACTCCCAAAATGACGTTCGAGGTGCTTAGCACAACATCAGGAGGCTGGGCAGCTCTGGCCTTGGCCAGTAGTGATCACATGTGGATGTGACCTCCCACCTGGCTGGATAACAGCAGGTCTGAGCTGCATTAGCTGCTCTGAGTTTTGCATTTTAAGGAGAAAGTGACTCATTTTTTAACCTATATCTAAAAGACCAATTTTGCAAATTAATTTGTCCTTGTAATAAGTATTTAAAATACATTAGCTGTTGTCACTGGTGATTTTCCCCTTGTTTTTCAGTTCCCTCTTTCAAGGCTGGAGAAGAAAGACTATTGGATTCCAAATATATTTCCCCACCCCACCCCTTAAAATGAACTTTCCATCTTGCTCATGGAAGAACCCCAAATTTATATCAGTCTCTTCCCTGCGGTAACAGTTTTAAGTCATAGCAGGAAATTTTCAGGAATCAATTAAGTAGACTAATACTTTGCTGGAGGAAAAAAATGTGCTGAGGGGGACTTAATTTACCATGCGTCGCAAAAGTTTCTAAGTAAATTATTTTCAAGTCAACTTGGCCTTTCTCTTAGCTGTGGCAGGGGCACATTTGGGTTTGATTTAAAAATTTCTAATCTATCACTGTCACCATTCCTGCTGTAATTTAAGGCTTCAGTGGTTTGTGGTAGATAACAGTTGTTACACTTCCTGCAGGCTAAGAAGGCACTGACGATGTGGTGTACTAACAATCACAAAGCAGACAAAGGGAGAAGAAAAGTCTGCGTGGACGTAAGGCTGTGTCAGGCTAGCGTCGCTGGGGGAGACAGACGGGAAAGGAGAGGGACAATTGCTACCTCCAGACGCTCAGTCTTGGGTCTTCCTGCGCATCCACACCAGGTCTGTGGGGCACAGACAGGTGTCCCTGGCAGCAGCCCTGCCCTTGGGTAGCTTGGGCAGGAGAAGTGGTAAGAGGGATCTTGTGCAGAACAGGTCACAGCAGGCTGCCCAGGTACTAAGATAGCACTGAATGGGAGGAGTCTACACAGTCCAGGAGGCACTGTGATCCCGTTAGCTGGCATTCTACATAAAATTGCAGTTCACTGACCCTCTGCCAACTCTGAAGTCAGAACCTGGCTGAAGTTACAGGCTTGTTCTTAGGAACTGAGCACACTGCATGGTCCCACCAAGCCTCAGTACTTTCATCTCTAAAATGGGGTGACATTGACACCTTTGTGGAATTATAAGGCCTTGGCATTATGGTGCATTTCAGTGTCCTGCCTAGCAGCCAAGAAGGGTTAATCCCTACCATCTTTTCTGTTCTGTGATGACCATGCTGAGAGCACAGGTGGTGGGGTCGCTGAAGGGTGGGTGTATTTGACCTTCCAGGTTTCAACAGGACACTGTAGACCTGGTGGTTTGTAAACGGCATATGTGTTTCTCACGGTTCTGAAGTTTGGAAATTCCAAGCTCAAGGTGCTATCGTTTGGATGTGGAGTTAGAGACCCGTGAGTTAGAGATAAGGTCCCCAGGGTGGTTCTGCTGGGAGACAGTACAGCTGTTAGGCGGTAGGGCCTAGTGGGAAGTCTTAGGTCCCTGAGAGCATTGCTTAAGGGGATCAGGGACCCAGCCCCCTCCTTGCTCTCGTTTTTGCTTCCTGGTCATGAGGACATTTCCTTTGTCAGATACTCCCGCCATGCTGCTGCTTGGCCATAGACCCAAAGCATAGTGACCAGTTGATTATGAATGGAAGCCATTAAACTATTGGGAGTGCGTACTGGTGGTTAAACCCAAGGCCTTTTCATCCCCAGCCCTTTTAAGATTTTTGTTTTTGAGACAGAATCTCACTAAGTCACTAAGTTGCCCAGGCTGGGCTCAAACTTGTGATCCTCCCACCTTACCCCCTAGTCTTTTTGAAAGTTGATAATCTCGGGTATTGTGCTATAAAGGTGGGAAACTAGGGCAGGAGAAGCAGAACAGGTCACAGAAGGCTGCCCAGGTACTAAGGTAGCACTGATTGAGAGGAGTCTAAGCAGTCTGGGAGGCGCTGTGATCCTGTTAGCTGGCATCCTACGAAAAAGCTCTGTGGAGTGCAAGGCTAAGACACCTCACTTGGTGTCTGGTGAGGGTCCTGTCCTTGTAGACAGCACCTTTCGAGTGCATCCTCAAGTGGCCGGAGGGAGGACACACTCTCTCAAGCCTCTCTATGATAATTCACTTACCTGTCTGATGGTGGGATTTTTGTGACATAATCACTTCTTCCTTGTGTCACCACTTGAAGGGTGGGGATTACAGCACTGACTTTGGTGAGGGGTACATAAACATTCAGACCATAGCAATGAGTTACTACCACTGCAGCGCTGGGGAAAGACTTGTCCCTGTTGTTCCACCCTCCTGACCTTGAACCCTTGGCAGTGGTCAAGAGAGACATCTGGACAGGATGATAGCAAAGCCACCCCCACCGCAAG